ATTCCTGGCATAACCTATACACCAAAAAATCAGAAAAACACAGTAAGTTCAAAGTGAAAAATATCAATAGTACAAGTTTACATACGAGAAAGCAACCACTCTCTAAAAAGTGATAACAGTTTCAGTCTGTCTCATTCCTAACATACTTTTCAATGGAGACAAAGTTATCACGAAGTTGATTTACTGTCTTCTCAGAGAAGGAGAGTGATTTTAGTCCTGCCTGCGACTGCTCAACCTGCAGTATTATTTTGGGCAAAGCACGTGAAGATATGAGATTTGGTGCCTTAGTTTATTCAATATCGAAAGCAACAGTATGGGCAAGGCAATACATGTTTAATGTGCTAGACATAATGCAGAGCATCTGTTGTGGTCTGAATTAAATTCCTGTTGCCCAAGTCCTGATTATCTTTTAGTACAAACTATCCTTAAGTTTAGGTGTAAGGCAGTAGTAAGCTTGTAAATTGTCTACATTTATTGGGGTTTGACAAGGGGGAAGAGGCAACAGTAGAGTTATAAAAACCAATCTTATGCTCTTACTTAATATGCAGATGGCGTATATCATTGTACGGGGAAAAAAAAAAGTAATTCAACGGTTTGCAACTACCAAAAGGAGAAAAGTTTCGGAATAACCTTCATCTAACCAGTTATATTCAGTCAATTAAAAAGAAAAAAAATCACCTGCTCAGCAACCATTGTACTAAGCTGCGCATCATTGGCCTGAAAAGCAAAGCACTACATGAATAACAAATTCAAACAAACGAAGCAACAAATATTATAATTATAACTAAAAATAAAAATAAAACAAAAACCAAAAGATTAACTGAATGAAATCGAATAGAACTGAAACCTGTTGGCGCGAAATGTAATCCGCTTTGATGGATGAGATCGACTGAAGAAGCTCCGGAAGAGGCAACAGCTTCGCGACCTCGCGAACCGCTGCCTCCTTCGCCTCCACGCCGAGATCCTCAGCCATCATCGTGTCTGCGCAAAAAAGAAGAAAAAAAAATGAGCTAAACTGCGCGAAGGACGCGAAGAATTATGAGCTGTGAGGACAAATTCTCAGGTGATTTTCCGAATCGAGCAAGAATTGGACCTGATTTGGTGGAAATTGGACGTGGATCGCGTTGGCGTGCACGAGATTGTGGTGTTGACGATGTGCGAATTTGAGAAAGAGAAAGTTCTGCAGAGAGAGAGAGCGGTTGAACGAGCTAGCACGGAGAAGAACGAAACGGAAATTGGAAATTGGAAATTGGAGGTGACGACGAAGTGACCCAGCAGGTTAGCGAGTGAGAAAAAAGGACTACGGATTGGAAATAGAATGCACCACGTTATTTTGACCCATTTTTATTTTTTCGATGGTTAAATTTTGAAATTTTAAAATAAAACTAAAAACTAATTTTTTTTTTTTTTTAGAACACACCATTTCTCCCACACCTCCATTGATAGAAAAAATTAGAGTGGTAAGAAATTACGAAGGACTGAAGAAAAAAAAATAAACTCATTTGTTTAGTTATATATATGAAAAAGTGAATGAAAAAAAAAATTACCCATGTAATTAAATTTAATAACAAATTAAACTAAATTCAAAATATAATTTTAATTCAGTTATCTATATAAATATGTATAATAGTTATTACATAAATTCTTTATATTAATGTGGATTATATTAACTATATTGTATTTAATTAAGATTTTAATTAAAATGTCTTAAAATAACTAATTAGGTTCACAAAAATATTCTCATGCATGCTATATTTTTAAAAAAAATTAAAACACTATTATATTTCTTTTAGTATAAAAATTGTGGTTTAGCACCGGTGGTGTGCGTGATTTGTTAATCTCTTGTAATGAGAAAGGAATGATTTATTTATTTCCTAAATCCTTCTCACTTAAATCATTCCTTCCTAAATCACTCAAAGCAAACAAAGTGCTAATGTTGATCCATGCGAATACAGGTTGTGTATGTCTTTATATTTGTATTTGCATTAGAATTAGATTTAGAAAGTCATGTAAATCATATAATAAATTAATAGATTCATCTTGAGTTTTTTAACGCGAAGAGAAGAAAGAAAGAACAAAACAAAAGAAGTTGCCTGTTAGGACACCAATAATACTGCAAATTTTAGATTCTTAATAGCAAGCCAGATATATTACCTATGGACTTGGGTTGATTAGAAGATTAGTCTAGAATCCTAAATCTTCCCATCTTATGGAAGGAAAATTCTGAGGTACATAAAGGGCACACTTGATTGTACTTTATTGTTTTCAAACAATTCAGATCATGCAAAAAGAAAAATGAGAGGTTCTTCAAATTATGATTGTTGTGGAGATAAAACATACAAAAGGAGCACAAGAAGATATGTTTTTATGTTGGGGAAGGCTTTAGTGTCATGGTGCTCGGAGAAGCAACCTACCGTTGCACTCTCTACCGGTGAAGCCAAAAGTACATGCAGCCTCTTATGAGCTTGTAAAGCTTTGTGGCTTAGAGCACTATCAGAGATACACTTGGAGAGTGATGGCCAAACGTAATTGATGATAGACAATAAGTCATCTATAAATTTAAGAAAGAATCCCATGGCTCATGGAAGAAGTAAACGCATCTACGCATGTTACAGCTTTTGAGAGATTTTCTGTTGAAAATTAAGAGTTTTTTCAATAAAAGAAATCTCCTAGACTAAACATATTTCATTTTTCAAGAGATCAAATGAATAAAGGGAAGTTGAGTTTGGCCCGCTGCAATTTCGAAGAGTAGATAACTATCATTTTGACAAAGCCTCTAAAATATGAGATTCATCATGCTCAGAGAAAAGTTGGGTCTTGTGTCTTTAGTTGATCTGAGTTAAGGGGAGTTTGTTTAAGTGACAATAATTCAATTTGACTGTTAGTTGGTTAGCTGTTATAAATACAATTAGTTTATGTTAGTTAGATATTATGGCTTAATTCCACTTTTAGTCCCTCAATTTTGTGATTGATGTGCAATTTATGATCAATTGCTTACTCTCCCTAGGATTAATGCCTTCCTGACTTTAGAATGGGAACAACCTTCTCTCAGTCCAAAACTTTTGATAAACAAAAGGAAAGGCAAAAAAGGAAAAATATGTGCTTATAAATTGAAAACATATTAGAAAGATACATAACATTTATATGTCGTAGAATACAATCACATCACAAATTTTCATCACAGTTATCCTAACTTCTGCCAATTATATATATCTTTTGCTTCATCAGTTGATGGATGGAAATGCCATCAAAATGCCAAAGCATTGGTGGCTTGGAAACTAAAAGCTCATTAGCTATTTCCTGCATTGATGGTCTGGATTTTGGGTGGGGGCACAAGCATGCCAACGCTAATGTTACAACAAGGACAATATCTTGCATGTCTTTTCGAAAAAATGGTAGTGGAATTCGTGAGTCCAATATATTTTTCAGCTTCTTGTTTTGAATGGATGGTTCTGGCAAAGAAGAAATCAATTCAGCTGGATGTCTACCCATCATTGTTTCCAAAACCACCACTCCAAAGCTATACACATCACATTTTGTAGTCACAGTCAAGGTGCTAGCCAATTCTACATGTAACCACCAGAATATTATGCAAGTTGTCAACAATATTTTAATAATAATAAAAAAACTGAATCTTACTTTTAGTCTCCTATTATTACTTTTTGCAAATTTGATCCTTCTCCTATTATTACTTTTCGTGAATTTGATCCTTCTAATTTTTTTTTTAATTTGTTCTCACTATTTTCATTGTACAAATTTTGTTCTCCTGTGAACTTGACATCCAATATTTAATGAAAGTACTGTCATGATACTCGCGTACGTGTACTACCATATCAGCATATCCACATTGACAAGCCACTCTATGACATTGTAATATTAATATTTTTGTTAAATTTTGGATGTCAAGTCAACAGATAGACCAAAATTGCGTAGTTAAAATAGCAAGTTTGAAATATGAAGAAAATAATGAGAAAGGGCAGGCAAATTCACCAAGAGTAAAAGTTCAATTAAGCCTACAAAATATTAACAGTAAAGAAATTGAATTTGTGATTCTACAGGGAGAACAAAACTTTACCTGGAGCAACATATCCGTAAGTACCAGCAAGAAGAGTTTGATTTGATGAATGGCAATCAAGAAGTCTTGCTGTGCCAAAGTCTGAGATGAAAGCCTGTAGCTCCATGTTCAACAAAATATTGTTACTGCTTATGTCTCTATGAACAATAGGTGGAGTACAATCATGATGCATGTGAGCCAAGGCATAGGCTATCTCTTTTACGATATTTATCCTCTTGCTCCAATTCAACTCTTGAGCTTCCACTTCATTAAACAAGTTATAAAATAAGCTTCCCCTTTCCATATACTCATACACCAAAAACATACACTTGTTATGCAAACAAAAACCATAAAGCCTAATGATGTTACGGTGGCGAATTTCTGTCAAGATCTTGGCCTCATTAGAGAAACTCTTGTAAAAGGATGGATTTTCAGATTCTGTTTTGTGAAGCTTTTTCAGTGCAACAACTCTACCACTGGGAAGTTGTGCTTTATATACACTTCCATAAGCTCCTGTTCCTATGCAATACCGGATATCAAAGTCATCCGTGGCTTTAATTATGTCTTCAAATGCAATTTTTCCATCATAGTTCCAAATTGAAAGCATGTCTCCATTCTTTCTTTCCTCATTTCCAAACTCATCGTGAGTGGGACAAAAAACATGAATTCCCCAACACACAAGGACTATTGAAAAGACCATGCCATTGAAGGTAGAAAAGGCAATTATCATCACTAGAGAAATATCAGCATCAGAAGAGCATGAATAATTGAAATCCTTATTACCAATTAATGAGTCTTTTGGAAAACCACAAAAACTGTGATCTGAATCGTTAAAGGAATTGTAGGACAAATTAAGGTGAGGCACAGAATGGAGTCCCTCAGGTATGTTACCTGAGAGGTCATTATAACTAAGATCAAGATATGAAATATTTCCTATTTGAGGAGGAATGCTTCCACTTAAAGAGTTGTTGCTTAACTGAATATAACTACAATGGTTCAAGACACCATAGGGGATAGGTCCCTCAAGCTTATTGTTGGAAATATCTAAAATTCCAAGTCTTATTTGTCCAAGCCCAGATGGAATGAAACCAGTTATTTGATTCCAAGATAGTTGAACCCTTGTTAGTTGTGTAAGGTCAGAAATCCCCTTTGGTATAACACCAATAATCTGATTATGAGAAAGATCTAAAACTTTGAGAAGGATCAAGTGCTCTAAAGTAGAAGGGATTGAGCCATTGAGTGAGTTATATGAAAGACTTAAGCACACTAAACCTTTTAAATTCCCAAGTTCTGCAGGAATGTGGCCTTCAAATTGGTTTGAGTCAAGGGAGAGTAGGGTCAAATTCTTCAATTGACCCAAAATTGGAGGGATCAGACCAGTAAGAAAATTCTTAGAAATATTAAGTGTCTCGAGCTGTGTGAGACTTGAAAGTGAACTAGGCAACTCACCTTGAAGACAATTAGAGGACAGGTCAAGGTGCATAAGATTTTTAAGAGATCCTATTTCAGAAGGGATGCTTCCTTTGAGTCCCAACCCACTAAGCTCTAAACGGATTAAATTAGGGAATGCAGTCACATTGAAATTCTGAATATGAGCTTCTGTTGGAGGAATATAAAAATATTTCCTAGTTGAAATCTCTGTAATTCTATGAGCTTCATTGCACACAATACCATTCCATTTACAATGTTCTGAGATATTTCGGCCTTCCCCCCATTTGCTCTGGAGCAAAGCCTCTTGTTCCTCATTTGTGGATGAGGAATTAGAAGCTTCCATAGTGTTAGCAATAACACCTTCTAGGAAAAAGATATAAAAGTAGGTACTAAAGATAATAGTTACTAATTGTAAACTGCAACTTGAGTTTCCCATGCTTGATTCAAATTTGAACGGCTTAAATTTCTATAATGAACTAAGTTATAATGTTATTAGCCCTAGGACTTATTATATGCGTTGTGATACTAACCTAAGCATTGCCAAACAGGACCATGTGGAAATTACAGTAAATTAGAAATTTCCTTTCAACTTCTTCCAAATTTTCAGTGAGTAACATTTGAGGACTATAGGCATTCGACACGGTTTTGCATAATGGACTTTTCAAAGTATAAGTTGATGATAGATGATAGAATGAACATGTGATATATGCACATTGAATGCGACATATACGATGGCTACAAAAAAAAAAAAAAAAAAAAAAACCCACCTTCTAGTAATCTGCAACTAGAGTTTTCCATGGTACATTGAATGCAATGACAATCTCTCGGCCCCAGAACTTTGAATATATGAGACTGGTAATTGGCATGATTCACTTGACGTGTTCAAATTATGGTTTCAATTTGGAATAATTATCATTCAAATTTTGGAAAACAAACCTGTTGAATCTGCGTGCCCCCTTTACCTATTGAGAGTAACATCATAGCACCAAGTCTATGGACGTGCAAAACACTTTTACACAGTGCAATTGAAATAATTGGTTGAAGAGGGGTCACTGTGGAATATTGAAGATAGAGTGAACGTGTAAGATGGGCACATGGAATTAATTACTATGATCAATTTTAAAAACTCGTCCATCTAAGGCTAAAAGGTATGCTTACAATCAAGCATGTACTTTCGTAGACAAGGTTGGTAGTTAATGGACAAAAGAAACTAGAAAGTTGATTCAATTTGCCAACATGACACTCCTCACTATGGAAGATTCAGTTTTGAGCTTTTACTTGTATCAGATTTACCCTCATGATTGATCCTGCAGTTTGCTCTTTCTAGACTACTACCACTTCGAGATCATAAAGAATATTAGACTAATCCAATGTAGTGAAATGAATTATATCGTGTACAAGTTCAATGAAGCGTTATTATTTATTAAGCGCACAAGCTAAAAAATATCCCTTTATTTTTGTATTTGCTATCAATAATAATTTAATTCACGAGGACATCCTTCTTTGGTCTACCAAGTAGTTCGAGGATCTCTTAACCTGAATGTACGAAATTTTGGCTGCTGAAGCATTGGTAGGAATTGAATAACTAAATAAGAATACTTATATGTGAATAGAATAACAAATTGTGGGCATTACACGAGACATTCTAATAAAAGTGCTGATAACATGAGAAATTGAATAATTTTTAAGATAATCAAATCTAATGATGTGTAAATGAATTAGTAAATACTCGAAATGAAAGTTTTGTCCCTCAAAGTGATCCTATTTGAGTCATGTCGCTATCCCAATTGGTGGTTAAACAACATTAATTGATATTTGATTGATTGAATACGTGGGCATGGAACAGAGAATCACTATGTTTTTAGAAGGTGCTCAGTTCCTGCATCAACAACTTTGACTGGAACAACAATAATATTAAAAGCTAAAGTCGATTGGTCATGGGAATCGAACAAAGAATCACTATCTTTGAGGGATAAGTTATAACTTATAGGTCAAGGAAATCAAAAGTTGATTCAAGTTCTCACTATGGAGTTGATTATGAACTATTGAACTTTAGCTCCATTGAAACATCATCTCCAATTGCAATGTCTAATGTTCTCACTCAAACTTTAAAATATCTGACTAATCTAAACAATAATTTCGAGACATGGACTTTACAACATTATAGGACTTATAACCTGACTAGAACAATAAGGGGATTGTCTAACTTATTTAAGAGTAAAAATGAAGTTAAACAATTTCATAAAAGATGATTTACGATATTATGTACTTTGAGATGATTAGTGTAATTTTATTTTTTTTATTTCAACTGATATCTTCTATGGGGTTATTTAACATTATTTTTAATTCTTCAAGTCCAAAAATAATTTTATTTTATAATCAAACAAAGTTATTCTTGTCACTTCACTTTTAATATCAAATTAACCATCTTTTAAAATAATTCATTCAAAATTAATTTCAATTTTACTAAATAAAAAATAAACCGATATTAATTCATATACTGCCGCCTCCTACACGTTCTTAAATCTAAGTCTCTATTAAAGGATGACTTGGGTCATGGAAACCAAAAGTTGATTCAAGTCGTGTTTGTTAAGTTGGTTCTATACCTTGGTTTCATTTTAAGTGTCCAACATTCTTTCCCATGTATACTTTATATTATTTCATAAGAATCCTGAAATCATTCTCTCATTTAATCAACCTCTTTGCACTTTTATTACGCACCTTTCAAAACTTTTTTTCACGTCCAACTAAAATTTTCAGCAGAAACTATTAGCACCAACTTCATTTTTGGCATGGATAACTGCTATAAAAATCTGATCCAAACATGCACTTTCTGTATTAGAAAGGAAAGAAGAAGCACTTTTGATCGGTTCGTTTTGTTTTTCGAAAAAGAAGCAAAAATAATAGTACGCAGATTGAGAAGGTTCATTTGCCATGATATACTTTCATACAACCATAGTACCATCTCATGGTAAACGACTTTGAACAAGTATATGATAATATTACAGGTCGTCAACAATATTAATTGAGGTAGTGAATCAAGCAGCGTGCTCATTAATCACGGTAAATTTTATATATTACTAGAATTGAATTATATATAGGTTAATTTGTATACATAGAGGATACCCGGATTATGAAACATTATGCTTATTAATCCTATATCTCATAATTTTTAACACTTGTCGTAATACTTAACGGTGAAATATATGTATCTCTAACAAGTATCCTGTAACTTGGGTTCTATGTTTACGACATAACATTGAATGTCATTCCTCTAATAACATAACTCCGATACCAAACTTAAATTATTATAAGATAGAAGGAAGAACAGCGTATCAGTAATCAATAATAAGAACAAAATCCATCACCAAAACTACCACTGGATAAGAGTTTTAACAAGAATTCAAAACTTGAAAATCACATCAAAGAAATAAATTTGTTATCAAAAAGTACATTGAAGGAGGAAATCTATCATCGAACATTTCATTCTAAGCCACGAGAGTGCTGGCAGTTGTTGATTCACTGCAATAGTGGGTAAACCAAGTAAATATTAGAAAACCAAGAAATGGGGACATACAAGAAAACCTGAAACAACACAAACCCTAATTGATGACATAGATCTATAGGTCAGAAAACTAAGAATAATTAGCAAAAAACTAGTATCAACCAAAGCAGATGTTTCAGGCTGCACATACATTATACAGACATGCAGGAATATTGGTCCAAGAGTTAAAGGCAAGCAATCCTTGTTAACAAATTGAAATCATCCTTACATTCAACACATTCTAAAGAAAAAATATTTAGATAAAACAACTCCTCAATATGTACAAAACATTAGTGATCCAAATTTGAAAACACTAGGCAAATATGAAGAGCAGCAGAAAACAACCATATCATTCACCAAAATTAGGCTTTTTCCATCAGGAAAGAAAAGGAAAAACAAAGGAATAGTAAGTGAACATGTTTAAACAACTCAATGCACCTTCCCTTGTGTCAAATTATATAATGACTCAAAAAATAGATCATGCATAAACCCTTGACAACCTCAAAAACCCTTCCTAATTAAAGATAAGATACAAGTTGAATACTTACTATTTCCACACAGGTGGAAGCTTCTTTGTCTTCTTGTAGTACCGGGCAAGACGGTGAATCCTGCTCTCAACCAAAATTAACCTGAATTTAGAGTCCTTGTCCTTCCTGTTCCTCTCCAAGTGCTTCCTAATAGAGACAGCCTTCTTGATGAGGTGATACAAATCTTCAGGAATTTCAGGAGCAAGGCCTACAGAACAGAAAAACACTCCACTCATCAAATTCTAAAATCTAAGCAACATTATAAACCAAACAGAAGGGGGAAAACCATACCATGAGCCTTCAATATACGGAGAATCTTGCTTCCAGTGACACTCTTCACCTGAGCAATTCCATGAGAGTCTCGAAGAATCACACCGATTTGAGATGGAGTAAGACCTTTCTTGGCAAACTTGCAGATGTTCTCCTCCACCTGTGAAATTCAAAACATCACTCAACAAAAGAAACAGTGTCCACACCTATATCACCATAACATTAACATAACAAACAATCAAAATTAATAAGAAAGTCAGAACTCATAACTAGTTAAATTGAGAACTTTATAAACAGCACCAACCGTCACACTAAAGGAGCAATTTTATAAAAACGTAACAGATTATGCAACATCAAATGCAAGGGTCCACGATTTTGCAGCCACATCAATTTCATGGGTCCACAACTATTTTGCAATATAAAGGATCGCAATGAAACCATACGAGGGACTTTTTTTATTCATAGGAATTACAATGACGACAACATTCAAAGCATTCAAACCTAAGATCCTAAACCCTAAACCTTAAGATTTAACGATATAAAGAGAACAATCATCACAAGCCTAGTTGTATACATGAACAACAAAGTAAATACACATGAACAATCCCCACATTACAAACACACATAAAAATTAACAATTTTTTCAGCTAAAAGTCACAGTTTTATAGCATTAAAGAAAAAGGGTAACATAAACACAAACGAAGGCAAAAAGAAAAGGAGAAAAAACTCAAAAGGGGTTGAGATTTCTTACATCCTGGGAAGAGATCTTGAGCCAGCTAGGTGGGGTCCTCTTATAGGGAAGAGCCGAACTGGAGATACCCTTACTGAAAAGAAAGACATTGAAGGAAGGAACGAAACCAGCAGAGAACAACGTTAGAGAAAGGAAAAAAGAGTTTTTTGACGAAGGTCTAAGTAGAAGATGGGAACAGACCCGCGACTGTGCATACGCCCCATGGTGACTGCGTTTGAAGGACGACACTCTCTGTCTGCTGCGCTTGTCTGCACGAACAACTAGAAGTGAAGCTGGAGAAACCCTGCCAATATGAAGGTAGTGAAAACTAGGGCAAACCTCACTAATTGGATTGGGCCCCTAATTGATTTTGGGTCTGGCCCAGTATTTTTTATTCTGATGGGTTACGACCTCAAGCCCAAAAATAAGGCTGCATTCAGTTACGCCGAGATAATTAATGGAAACTTTTATTCAAAAAATCCGAAATTATGGTGGGATTGTTGTGTGGATAACTTCACAACATTTTATTATAAAAGTTTTTTATTATAAAACTTGAGGGGCTAAGATATTTTTTTTAATACTTATATCTAAATATTTTATTATAAATAATTCATTATTATTTATATTTTTTTTCTCTCATTTTATCACATTATATATCAGTTAGGATGACAACGAGGCGGGGCGGGGACGGGTTTCATGATACCCATCCCGTCCCCGTATCCGTACCCGTCATGTATATAATTTTTAGGCTAAAACTTTATTTTGGTCCCTTATATTAATTGTTTATTTCAATTTAATCCCATTTTTATTTTTTGTTTCAATTTGGTCCCAAACTAATTAATTGGTTTCAATTTAGTCCCAAATTAATTAATTGGTTTCAATGTGGGACGTCCGTCTAAATTATTTAAACGGAGTTAACTTTTGGCCACGTGGATGCCACGTAGATGCATACGTGGATGTCACGTGGATACCACGTGAATGAGAGTTTTTTTTAAAACACCTGGACCTAGAACGGCCTGTTCTAAAACCGGAACGGGACGTTCTGGGTGCACTTTTGGTGTGTAAATTTTGCATCCGGAACGGCACGTTCCAGGTGCAAAATTTACACACAAAAAATGCACCCAGAATGGCCCGTTCCGGTTTCAAAACGGGCCATTCCGATTTTATCCTTTTTTTATATATAAAATATTAATAATTTTATAAAATATATATTTTTAATTATATTTTAATTATATTATTATATCTAATAAAATAAATATATTAATAATTTTTTTAT